CTCTGTTCCAATCCCATAAGGCCTTAAGAGTCCTTGCAATGGTTAAGTGCTCAGCTGCTAAGGGAAAGGTTGGAGGGTGGAACCTATCAGCTGATCTGTGATAAAAAGATGTGACAGACTGCTTCCATGAAGAGTTACAGCCTTAGAAACCCTATGGGACAATTCTACTCTGTCCTATTGGGTTGCTAAGAATCAGAATTGGCTCTAAAGCCATGGATTAGCAGTCCTAATGAGCAAGATGATCACGTTTTCCTGAGCAGAGTTAGAGCAGAAGGCGCCTTCTCAATGCCAGTCATAATACCTTTGTCTTTCTTCCCTTTCCTTTATCATTAAGGGTTTGAAACCTACCTTGGGGGTGAGTAGAAAAAGTCTAATTTGAAATATTGGTTTTGTGACTCCTTCTTATTGTGGCCTAAACTCTGGTTCTACACTCTGGAGTTAAAATACAGTGGGACTTCACAAAGTGGACTGATGGAATTAAAAGATAATGGAATTTTCCTACAAGCTCTGAAACCCCCTCATAGAAGGTCCTGTCTCTCCTCACTGTTCCTTGCATTCTGTCCTTAAAACATAGTCCTCCATCAAAATAAAAAAAATTGTGCATTAAAGGACTTGGAAAAAAAAAAAGAAACAATAGAATGGGAGAAAATATTTGGGAATAATATACCTGCTGCACAAGACCGCTTTAAAGTGTTCCAGAGTGTCTAGACAGGTCTTGTGAAAGGAGGTGGGGATAAGATTCTTATGATTCAATAGTGAGTAGTTGGTATCATGACTAATTGCGATTGTCAAAACTGTAAAGTAGAAGTTTTGTAACATATGGTAGGGGTGGGAGGAGAGGGGGAGTAGTTATTCTTACATTCCAGGAACAAAGGTGCCTAGGACCATCAAGGAGGAGAGCATGAGTGGAATGTGGAACCCTATCCTGAGAAGCAGCAACACCAGCGATGGAGGCAGAGATGAGACATGGAGAGATAGAGCAGCTGAGGACTCCAGACTCATGGAAAGAGAAAGATGGTTGGCTGGTGGCCAGGAGGCAGGCTTGCAGAATGTGTCCTTTGATAATTTAAATGATTATATATTCCTGGGTGTTTTGGTGTACATCCCTTCCTCCCCCCAAATTAAAAAAATATATAAAAAATCAAGACATTTGCAGGCAGAACACACACACACACACAAAAGCGTTCAAGAGCAAAGATGTCAGTTTGAGGACTGACATTCAAGAGCAAAGATTTCAGTTTCAAACCCTTAATGGCCTACTCGAAGCCACGGTATCTCCATAGCCTCATATGCATGTGAGAGGTGGACAATGAGGGAGGAAGGCCACAGAAGAATTGATGCATTTAAGTTACAGTGTTAGAGAAGAATATTGAAAGTACCATAGATTGTCAGAAGAACAAACCGGAATATGTTTGAAGATGTACAGCCTTAATACTCCTTGGAGGCAAGGGTGGAGAAACTGCATCTTTCCTACTTTGGACATGTTATCAGGAGGGAGCAGTCCCTGGAGAAGGACATTATGCTAGGTATAGTGGAAGATCAGCAAAAAAAAAAAGGAAGACCTCCCCCCCCACCCCCAATGAGATGGACTGGCACTGTGGCTTCAACAATGGGCTCAAGCATATCAACAATTGTGCAGATGGCACAGAAGGCACTGTTCCTCTCTGCTATGCACAGGGTTACTGTGAGTCAGAACCAACTTGCCAGCTTGACAACCACCATATATCTGGTAAGGATTGAATATTCAATATCCAGAATATATATAATTACCTCCTACCACTCAACAGCAAAAAGAGAACCAATCCAGCTTCTAGCTGGAGCCGCCATCTTGCAGGAATCCCCCAAGATGACAAACACAAAGGGAAAGAGGCAGGGCCCCCACTCTATGTTCTCCAGGCCTTGTGTCGTGCCTTTGGCCACATACATGCGAATCTACAAGAAAGGCGATATTGTGGACATAAAGGGAACCGGCACAGTTCAAAAAGGCATGCCCCACAAATGTTACCACGGCAAAACTGGAAGAGTCTACAATGTGACCCAGCATGCTGTCGGCATTGTTGTGAACAAGCAAGTCAAAGGCAAGATTCTTGCCAAGAGAATTAACGTGCACATTGAGCATATAAAGCACTCTAAGAGCCGAGACAGCTACCTGAGCGAGTGAAGGCAAATGATCAGAAAAAGAAGGAAGCCAAAGAGAAAGGGACCTGGGTTCAGGTCAAGCACCAGCCTGCTCCCCCGAGAGAGGCACACTTCGTGAGAACCAATGGAAAGGAGCCTGAGCTGCTAGAAACTAGTCCCTAGAATTCCTGGCATAATAGGAGTGAAATAAAAATGTCTGAGGTGTAAAAAAAAGAGAGAGAGAGAGAGAGAGAGAAACAACCCAATTTTAAAAAATGAGCCAAAGGATTGGAATTCCATCAAATATGATCAACAAATGACCAACAAGCACATGAAAAGATGCTCAACGTCATTGTCATTGTTATTATTAAGTGCCTTCAAGTTGGTTTTGACTCACAGTGACCCTGTATATAGGAGCAGCTGGTGGCTTTGAACTGCTGACCTTTTGGTTAACAGTGCAGTGCTCATCCTACAGTGCCACACCAGGACTTCACTTCTGGATATTATTATGAAAGCGAAAAACAAGTGCTGGCAAGGATGTTGAGAAATTGAAACAACTATGAAGATAGAAATAACCCAAGTGTCCATCAATAGATAAAAAAGATGTACTGTAAACACAACAGACTATTATTGCTGTATAGGGCTTTCAAGGCTGCCAATCTATGTGGGAGCAGAAAACCTCATCTTTTCCAGGCAATGGACTTGTAGTCAGCTTTGAGAAGATACAAAGTTGCGAGGAAGGGGGAAAGGGCAAAGTGTTTCTATTAAAGGTGATAAACAATTTAGAAACAGCAACAATGGTTGCACTACAGGTGAATGCCATTAGTGTCACTAAAATTGTGCATATAAAAATGGTTGAAATGGCAAACATTTTCTTATATATACCACAATAAAAATTTAAAAAGTAGAAGAACAAAAAAAAAAAAAAAAGAAAGAATCATGTTTCTCTTTCTGAAGTAGCATCTACAGGGTAGCAAGCCAGAGTAAGATTTAGAGGCTGCAGAGGATAAGTCACGTGGTTGAGAAATTTTTTATCCCACAGTTTTTAGATAACTATGGTGGTGGTGGTTATGCTCCATGGAGTCGGTTCCAACTCAGCGACCCAGTAACGGTTTCTGAGGCTATAGAAGTCTTTAAAAGGGGAAAGACAAGGTGTATGGATTGAATTGTGCCCTCCAATATGTATAGTAACTCCTACAAGCTCTGCCTGTGGGTTAATCTAATTGGGAATGGGTTGTCCTTGTTATGTTAATGAGGCATGTGATTGATGGGTACCATCTAGTAGGTTCTCACTCATGGCTAACCCCAGGGAACACTGCTTAGTCCTGCACCATCATCACAATGGTTATATTTGAGCCAACAATTGTGACCACAAGTATATTTCTTGAGTATATCTCTTTTGAGACATTAAAAAAATAAATAAATAAACAAAGCAGCAGCTAAGTGAGATGGGGTAAAAGAGATGCTAAGATACATGGAGATCTCCAAGGAATCCAGAAGCAAAAGCTGAAGCAATATGGGAAACACCATTGGGTGAAGATTTAACATTATCATGTTAAGCATACTGTACATGCTAAACCTGTAATTCTATGAAATTGTATGTATACCAAGATTATGATGTAATCCTTACTCTGTCAAAGACATTTGAAAAGCTTCTAAAGGCAGATAGAATCTGGGCAATCCCTGTGTTCGGCTTGAACAAGCTTAATAACAGCATCCTCCTTTCGTCTGTTCTTCACCTCCTCGGTGTGACTTTATTAGCTCCTGTCACATCAGGCAATGGACCCAGAGTTTGGCGGATTCGTCTCTCCCAGCCAAATCCACGTGGGGTTGTCTAGCCACAACTCAATTTTAGTTCTTCAGTTAGGTAGTGCTCTATTGTCTCAGGTACTCTTTTTTTCCTTGAACTCAGAAGAGTTATTGAGTGCCAAGTACACCCTAGATACAGAAGGGCACTCCTGGAGTTTACAGCGTAATCACATATAGTATAATGATTGGTGTTGTTAAGTGCCATCGAATTGGTTCTGACTCATAGCGATCCTGTACTGCAAAAGTGAGAGCTACCAGTGGAAGGTAAAAACCCAAACCCAATGTCATTCAGTTGATTCTGACCCAAATCCACCCAAGCCTGTAAATCTTTATAGGAGCAGAAGGCCTCATTTTTCTACAGAGAAGAGGCTGATGGATTTGAACTGCTGCCCTTCCTGTTAGCAGTCCAAGACTTATACTACAGCGCCACCTAGTAGTAAAGGGCTATAAAAGGATTTTTGACAGGAAATTCGGCTTGCCTGCGAAGTGAAAAGAGAGTTGATAGAAGAGGTGTTCTGTAGGCTGAAAATGCCCTCACGTAAAGGGGTTTATTGTCAGCTGCCTTTCAGTGGCTTCGACTCAGAGCGACCCTATGCAAAACAGATCGAGGCACTCACTGCCAGGTCCGTGTTACGCTTGAGTCCATTGCTGCCACGGTGTCAATCCATCGGGGGGGCGGTCCGGGGGGGCGGTCCCCTCTTTTTTCGCTGACTCTCCACTGTACCAAGCTTGATGTCCTTCTCCAGGGACTGGCCCCTCCTTATAAGAGAGGCTCCAAGTCTGGCTATTCTGGCTTCTAAGAAGCATTTTAGCTGTACTTCTTCCAAAACAGATTTGTTTGCACTTCTAGCACTCCATAGCACTTTTAAAGGGGAATAACCTAGTACATTATAGGTAACCAGAGACATATGCACTTTCTTTGGAATATGAAGGAAAGTGCGAAAGAGGGGTGGAGAATGAGAGCGCTAGCTCACAACCGAGTTTGACTCATGTAAGCCACCGTCTGATCGTACAAGGCTGCGACTTCGTCGTACTGATTTCTGGGAGTTGTAGTCTTGACCTAAAAAGCAATCATGGCAGCCTCCATTGTAGGAGGCTGTGGGGCCTCGGTGGCCCTAAGCCGGACATTCAGAGTCACCAGGGTATTGCTCCCTTCACCAGCCTCTGCAGTCTGCCGTAAGCCGCGGGGAACTTGAAGGCTGGGACTCGGAGCCAGGTTGGGGGGAGGCGGTTCCCGCACGCGTGGCCCAGGGGAAAGTCAGGGGCGAGCTCCGCGGAGGCCCTTGTGGGGTCGTGGGTCCGCGGAGTTGCTCGGCTCCCGAGCAGGCTCGGAGACCTGACCTGAGCTGTTGTTTCCCGCAGGGGCCCATGAGGGACAGGGCCGGCCGCAGAGCACTGGGCCTTCGGGGCCTGGCACGTTCCAGCCCCCGTCGAAACCCGTGATCGTGGACAAGCGTCTTACCGCGCGCCGGGAGAGAAGGTGAGAGCTGGCCGAGCGGCGATTCCCACCTTCTGGGCAGAGGGCCGGAGATTGAGGGGTCTGGGCTCGGAATCGGATGCTGGAACGCCCTGGGCCTGTATACAGGACCTTGAATTTGGCGTTCTTGAGCTTGCGCCTTTGTTTCGTCCTTTACTCACTAGCTAGCATTGAACTTTCAATCCTGTCTTAATAAATAAGACCGTCATGTAAGAATTCCCTGGATTTGAGGCTATCACACCTTTATGGCGTTTAACTTGTACCAGTATTTTTCTTTGTGACTCAGCCTCTTTTAAGTGATGGAGGCGATCTGTTCGGGCCTGGCTGGGAGTGGCCAGGGCTCTGTGTTTTAGGTGGGCATTTCTGGCAGAGTATTCCCATAGTGAAACTCTCCACCAACCTGTATCTGAAATTTGCTCGTCACAACAAGTGTATAGAAGCCTGGTTCACGAAGGCGCATAGCCTTGGAGATGGGGAGCACGGTGGCGCTGGAGGAGAAGCACTGGACTACGAACCACAAGGTGGGCAATTTGAGCCCACCAGCTCCTTCGCGGGAAAAAGATGAAGAGCTTTCTGCGCCTCAAAGATAGCCTCAGAAACCCTATAAAGGTCGCTATGAGTCAGACAACGCACAACAAAACCTTGTCCCTACCTACAAGTTTATCTGAACTAGGACCTGTATAGTTTCCCCTCAAGAGCGGTGGAGCCGTGTAAATTACCTTTTTTAAATTCTGGGTCTTCAGAAAGGGCTCTGAATTGTTCATTGGATGATCTCTGTGGTTTTAAGATTTCAGATACTTTAGAGTTATAACTTGGACTTCAGTTTTTGGAACCTATGAACTCAAAAGATTTTCTTAGATAACTTTTTTTTTTTTTTAAGTAGAAAAGATCTTCTAAAAGAGTAACATCTAATAAAGTTCCATTAAATGGGATTGTAAATTCCATAAATTGGTATACATCTGTACCTGGTAGTGTAGTGGGTTACCCATTGGACTGCTGAACCGCGAGGTTAGCAGTTAGAAAGCCAGAGAAAGGTGAGGCTTCCTGCTCTCATGAAGATTTACAGTTACGGTCAGAACTGCAGTGCTGGTATATAACCTTCCTACCTCTCTACTCAGAAGATATATAGCCTACAGAAACGCACACATCTGCAGAGAGATACAAGAATTAACACTGGCATTTAACAGAATTTTAGAATAGACACACCTGAAATATCTATCATTAGGTGAACAGGCAAATTACCTTCATATAATTGAAATATTGTTTGTTGTTAGGTGTGGTTGAGTCAGCTCCGACTCAGCAACCTTGTGCCAGTAGAATGAAATACTCTCTCGTCTTACAGTTCCTGGGTTTTATTGTTAGCCTATTGTTGCAGTCACTGTGCCAGTCCATTTTATTGGGGTCTTCCTCTTCACTGACCCGCCACTTTACCAAGCATGATGTCCTTCTCCAGGAACTGGCTCCTTCTGATAACATGTCCAAAGTACATTAGACAAAGTCTTGCCATCCTTGCTTCCAAAGAGCATTCTGGCTGTACTTGGAAGACACATTTGTTTGTTCTGGCAGTCCGGTACTTTCAGTATTCTTTGCCAATACCACAGTTCAAATGCATTGATTTTTTTTTTTCCCCAGGCTTCCAGATTCATTATCCAACTTCACATGCATATGAGGCAATTGAAAATAACATGGCTTGAGCCAGGCACAATTTGGTCCTTGAAGTCTTTGCTCTTGAACACTTTAAAGAAATCTTTCACAGAAGATTTTCCCAGTGTAATATGTCATTTGATTTCTCGACTGCTGCATCCATGGGAATTGATTGTTGATCCAAAGAAAATGAAACCGTTGACAACTTCAGTATCCTCTTCATTTGTCATGATACTGTTTATTAGCCCAGTTATGAGGATATTTGTTTTCTTTATATTGAGTTATAATCCAATATAAAGAAAACAAAACTCTAGCTCATTCTGCATTGCTGTATAATATTCAAGGACTTGAAGGCTGTATTTTAGTCCTTGAATATTACATTGTTGTTAAGTGCTGTCGAGTTGATTCTGACCCATAGCGACCCTGTACAGGGTTTCTGAGGAGCGACTGGTGATTCTGAACTGCCGACTTTGCAGTCCAGCACATTAACCCACAGTGCCGTATCAGGACTCCATAGAGCACTGAAAAATGAAATAAAGCTAATTTAAAAAATGAATGAATTTCACAAACAGGATGTGTAGGGGAAAATCACTAAATACCAGTCAGATACATGCACACACACATACACACATATATGTGAAATATATAAAGTATGAAAAATGTGTAGTGAAATTCTTCACCCTAATCAAGTAAACCTAGCATTGCCAATAATGGTGCAAGCTGACATTTTGTATCTCCTGTTGTGACACAATTAGAAATTCCTATCACTGTTGTAATGGTGGTGGCGACTGTGTGCCACTGAGTCAGTTCTGACTCACAGTGACCCTATATATAGGGTTTCCAAGTCTGTAAATCTTTATAGAAGCAGAAAGCTTTATCTTTCTCCCATGTAGTAACTGGTAGATTTGAACTGCTGATTTGTGGTTAGCAGTTCACCTCGTAATCCACAACACTACCAGGGCTCCTTAACTATTGTAATATTCTTTTTTTTTTTAATGTTTTATTGTGAATTATATGGTACTTTACATGGGAGAACTTTAGTTTTACATTTATTCCATCGTATATCATCTCATTGCCATGGTTCCAATACCCTCCATGCATCATCAACCACCCAAAGGGTATATCCCAGAAACCCGCCCCCTACACTTCCCTCTCCTCCCCCCAGTTTTCGGCCCACAGTCCCTTTCCCTCTCTGGGTCCAAAGTCCCCAGTCGCTTCATCACTCCATGTCTCCATCTCAGGCATCTCTGTTTCTCTGGGTAGGGTCCCGTTCTCAGCTCTTCTCCGTTGATGGTCCCAGAGGCCTCCGCTCCTATCCTGAAGAATTAATCACTCCCTTCCTTGTTACAAAGCTTCTACCTTTGCATTTCCAATCCTCATAGTGCGTCCTGATAGCATTATTCACTACAGTATCATGAGTTACCCATCTGTATCTCCTTTCATCAGCTCTGCCCAGGCAGATTGAATAGTACCTACTGGAGATTTTGCCTTCCGCCCTGCTCCCTAGCACCAGGTTCCCTCTTGAAAGCTTGTAAGCCAGTCACTTCTTGACTTTGTAGTCCCCTGCTCCCCATTTGAGTATCCAATGTCCAAGCTGCCCTTCTCCGTCCACTTTGTGTGTGTGAATGTTTCTTGCTGTGAGGATTTGTCCCCTATTGTAATATTCTTACCAAAAATATTAAACCTTAGTCTGTGGAAATCAACTGATGGCAGTGGGTTTTGTTTGGGGTTTTGTTGTTAAGTAATATGGTAACAAATCCAGAGAAATTCTATAAGACAGGAGACCTGACCTCTTTAAAAACCATTGCACTAAAAATAAAAGATGTGAGGACAGGACTAGTTGAAGAGACTAACAGGTAAATGGAGTCTTGGTATGGCTCTATAGGATAATCACTGGACTGTTAACCACGAGGTTGGTTCAGACTCACCTTAAACAGGGTCCCTATGTGGCAGAATTAACTCAGCAGCACTTAACAACAACTATAAGTAGATCCAGTGTTTAAAACCTGATTGTAACTTTGATTGAACATCAGATAGCCTGTAAGATGTTTTCTGGTCAGAGACTTTGGAGTCAGACAGATGTACAGACATTTCAGTTCTGATTTGAAAACTTTTTAACAAATAGTTAGCAGTGGTTCAGTTATTTGCCTTCATCTGAAAAAAGATCATTCCAAACCTGCCTGGTTGTTGTAAGGATTCCTTTAAGCTCTAGAGGGTTTAATCAAGGGTTTCAAAACACACGGTTGGGTAAGTACTACTTCGTTTTTGTTAGCTATTTACATGAGCCTTGATTAACACTTAGAAAAAAGATCAACGTTTTTTAGAGCAGGAAGAATAAAAAACATCAATATAATTTTCTTACATTTCTTTGTAAAGCAATAGTATTCGTTCTAATGGTCTTTTAATTTTATTTTTAACATTTTTTTTACAGGTTCTTGAGTCCAGAATTCATTCCTCCAAGAGGAAGAACAAATCCTCTGAAATTTCAAATAGAAAGAAAAGATATGTTAGAAAGGAGGAAAGTACTCCACATTCCAGAGTTCTATGTTGGTCAGTAAGAACTGGGTACTTTTCTTAGTGGTTGAAGGGTTATGTCTTAGTTTCATAGTGCTGCTTTAGCAAACCCCTAAGGCTCTAAGGAACCGAGGAACTGTGAGGAGGCTAGAGGTCTGACTTCAGGGCACTTGTTGCTTTCAGAAAGTTATTGTCTTCTCTTGTGTCTGCCTTCTTCTGTGCCTAATCTGTTTTGTTTTGTTTTTTTAAATCTCAAAAATGGTTGGGTTTTTTTTTTTTTATGATTGGCTTAAAACACACCCTGTACTGTAAAGACCTCATTAACATAATGAGATTACATCTGCATGGTAAAATGGTTAGTTAGGATAGCAACACGTTTAGGGAAACACAATTCAATCCATAACCATCTTATTTCCTTGGCTTAGAGAAAAGTATTGTTCACATATCTGGGTTTTGCATATATAAATATTTACTTATTCCCAGTATTTTGTTGAAATATTTAGAAAATTATGAAGTTACCTGGAAATTCTCCATTTTGTTTTTGCAACTCATTTACAAGTGGACTTCTCTTTTGAATTTATAGGAAGCATACTTCGTGTTACTACAGCTGACCCATATGCCAGTGGGAAACTCAGCCAATTTCTGGGGATTTGCATCCAGAGATCAGGAAAAGGACTAGGAGCCACATTTATCCTTAGGAATATTATTGAAGGACAAGGTAGGTTGCATTTCATTGTTTGGATTTTCTAGAAAATGCTATTGGGATTCTTTTCTGTTTTCTTTATTCTAGGAGGAGATATCTGGAACCTGGAGAGGGCTCTGAAGGAAGACATGGCCGTGCTCTCCATGAGCCTTAGAAAGGCATGCAAAGTGATCACTGACTAAACACTTTGGTCTGCTTTCTCTTGAAGGCTTCCTCCACTACAGCTTTAACAAGTGCAGGCAGTCCCTCGGCTACAAACGAGATCCATTCCTAAGTGTGTCTTTAAGTTGAGTTTGTAGGTAAGTCAGGCGTGCAGTTCTAATTTAGCCTGACTTTAGAGGAAGAGAAGGCGTCCTAGTGGCACAGTGGGTTAAGACAGATGGGCCTGTCTGTTTCCATAAAGATTTACTGTCTGAAACCATAGATAGGGTCATTGTGAGTTCGAATCGACCTGGTGGCAGTTACTTTGAGTTGGGTTTGGCCAGTGCAAGAAAGGCTTGGAGCCTTCCGTAACTGAAAGCTGCACATACAGCAAGTGAAGGTGATTGTGAGGCAGAGTGTGTTGAGAATAGGAGTTGATTTCAAAGACGGTAAGTTTATGACATTAAAGGACATGAACCCAAAGACTGCCTGTCAACTTCTCAAACCATGACTGTGCCAGAGAAGGAGCTAAGTGACTTCCAAGCAATGTGGGAGCTTTCATTTGAGGGAAATAATTCCTATGGATATTAAGATAACTATAGTGGTGCCCTTGTGAGATAGTTACTTCAAAGAGCAAATGCCTCCATTTTGCTTTATATTATGACACAAAACAAGTGTCACAATCACCACCGTTTTATGTGACTTGGAGGCATTTATAATAAAAGTCAAAATTATGTTTACATACTGTGCCTAACAAGGCAGAGAAACCAGTGATAAATTGTAGACATGACTCCTACTCCCATACTTATTTAGAGAGATGGAAAACTGAGAGCAGTGACTGTCTTACTCTTTCTGTGTAATGACTAGTGATGCCATGTAGCTCAGCACAACTGGACTGATGTAGCGATGTCATGTATGTAGTAGGAGCTCAGCACAGCTGGATGATGACAGGAAGTTTGCCTCCAATCAGTTCAGGTAGTTGGAAAAGCCTTCTAATAGGAAGAAATGAGCATAGTAGTGAGTCAGACAGACCTAGATTTGAACTTCTTCTTTAAAAGGGACATTGTCATTGTTTCTGTCGCAAGAGAGTTGTGGTTAATTAACAGTCAACTATGATGTTATATATGAAATGTTATATATATAATACTCAAAATAGTATTTAACTTCTTCTTACCTGTCTCTACGATATGTTTTGACTCTCCTAACCCTCCTCATCATTAACGATTGCTAATCTCTTTGGTAGTTCTTTCTTATCCAGTGATTTAAATACCATACCACCCATATAATAATAATTCCCAAACTTAGGTTTCCAGGACCGACCCTTTCCAAGTTCCAGATACATATATATATATATATATATATAGTTGTTGTTGTTGTTAAGTGCCGTCGAGTCGGTTTCGACCCATAGCGACCCTGAATAGGGTTTCCGAGGGTGTAAATCTTTACGGGAGCAGATCGCCTCATCTTTCTCCCGCGGAGCAGCTGGTAATTTCGAACTGCTGACCTTCCGGTTCGCAGCCCGATTCGTAACCACTACGCTACCAGAGCTCTATACAACTACCTAAACTACTTATTCAACATCTCCACTTGGTTATCTTATAAGCAAGAATAAGTTTAATATTTTTCTTCACACTGCATTACTCTCACTGTCTTACCATTTCTAAAAATGGCACCACTGCCTACCTGTTAAACCAGAACCCGTTGTTGTTGTTAGGTGCTGGCAGTCGGTTCTGACTCATATAGCCCTGTACACAACAGAATGAAACACTGCCCCATTCTCACGATTGTTACATTTGAGTTCATTGTTGCTGCCATCAAGTTGATTCTGACTCATAGCAACCCTGTATAGGGTTTCTTAGGAGCAGCTGAGGGGTTTGAACCTTCGATCTTTAGTTAGCAGTTGACTGGTGCCACAACAGAACCTGTAGAGCTAGATCAGTGTCTGGAACAGATTAGGTGTACAGAAAATATTGGATTGAATCCTGTTATTAAACTAGATATTAATGTTGATCATTGTTAATGATATATTTCTCGTGGAATTATTCTAAAAAATACACATAATTGTTTAATGATACAGATGGTATGTATAACTGCTGGTAGCATCTTGGCACAGTTAAAGCTGTTCGGAGCTTGCCTTTGACAAAGGGCCCCCAGCATGTTAAAAAAAAAGAAAACAAAACTAGTGTAGTCTTGAAAAGGGGACCCGCTGGTGTGGCACTGTAAGATAGGCACTGCTCTGGACTGTGGTTCAAACTCAACAACCTCTCCTTGGAAACACTATACAGGATCACTGTGAGTCAGAACCAGCACGGTGGCACGTAACGACAAACAACTTTTACTTCCTCATTCTATATCACAGATTCTGTTGCTCTTAACATGGAAGGTTAATTTTTATTCAAGTATTTGGGAAATAAACAGAACATGAAAGAGTGAAGAATTTACTCAAACTTTTTCAAACAAGCTATAACTTACCAGAACTGGAGATGTGACTCAACATATTCATAGACATTTTTTTTTTAAAGATTTTTTCTTAATCCAGGTACCTGCCATCTAAGTGGATTCTGGTGTGATACTGTAGGATAAGCACTCAACTAGTAACTACAAGGTCACAAGGTCATTCCAAAAGCCACCAGCTGCTTTTGGAAATCCTGTTTAGGATTGCTCTGAGTTGGAACTGACTCGATAGCACACAACAGATGGTTTTAGTTTATTTCTTTATGCATTTATGTCACTTTTCCTATGTGCAAAGCTCTATGCTATTTCCCTTATGAAATAGTCTTTGTCATAGTATGAGATATAAACAAGAATTTGGATTTAAGTTAATATGTTTTCTTCTCCTTTGTTAAGGTGTCGAGATTTGTTTTCAGCTTTATAATCCTCGAATTCAGGAGATCCAAGTAGTCAAGTTAGAGAAACGACTGGACGATAGCTTGTTGTACTTAAGAGATGCGCTTCCTGAATACAGCACTTTTGATATGAATATGAAGCCAGTAGCACAAGAATCTACCCAAGAAGTTCCTGTTAATCAGGTATAGGATGTACATTTGCAACTAGAAGCTCAAGTATAAAATAAGGAAGAATGTTCTTAAGGAAAAATTCAGAAGAATTTTACTTATGTTTCATAACCTAATTTATTCCTTTTCTTCTATCTTAGTTAAAAGTGAAAATGAAGCCTAAGCCCTGGTCTAAACGCTGGGAACGTGCAAAATTTAATGTTAAAGGAATCAGATTTGATCTTTGTTTAACTGAGGAACAAATGAAAGAAGCTCGGAAGTGGGATCAGCCTTGGCTTGAGTTTGATATGATGAGAGAATATGATACTTCGAAGATTGAAGCTGCAATATGGCAAGAAATTGATGCATCGAAAAAAACCTGACTTTGAGAATGAATTTGGTGACATACTGAGTCATCAGAAGACTTATTTTGAGACCAGTTTAATATTATTTTATAAGGACATAGTCATTAAATCAATAAGTTTCTTATTTCAGTAGTGCTTTTTTAAAAAAATTAAGTGAATAATGGATCACTTTAAAAAGAGTAACAATCTCTTACTGGAGGGCAAGCTCCAGGAGAAATGCCAAACCCGACAGCTCTTTAGTGAGCACGGCATCTGAGTGGGGGGAGTGGAGAAGATGGGGTTTCAAAACTGAAATAAATACAGAATAGTATTTGATTTAAAGAATAATAATAAAACTAACATTTGTGCACACACCATCAGGGGAGTGCCTGGATAACGTCCCTCTCCGACATGTAGGCACTATCATGATGTGCTATTAATCATTTCTTCGCTTTGCCTTTTTGTTGTTTTGAACAGCATCTTAGCAAGTGTGTGCCCTCGAACTGGTTCTGACTCATAGTGACCCTGTGTAAGGCTTCCGAGAGAGAGCTGCTGCTGGGTCTGAATGGCCCACCTTGTGGTTAGCAGTCCGGTGCTTATTTTGCAGCACCACAGCTGTGGTTCACTGGCAAGTATGAAAATACCAGTGCTCTCATTACCATATTTTCACACAAGGAGCCATGTCTTCTGTATTTGCCAACTGCTCTTTCCCCTATGTAGGTATTTTTAGAAACATCCTATGCTAACTTTTTTACAGCAACATACAGGAAAAAATGGTGGCGATGGAGTGTGAGGAGTGGTTGGTAAACAAAACGTGTTATTTGTGGGGGAAAAAATACAGAAAATGAAGACTTTTGAGAAAATAAAAAGTGGCTTGTGTAAATTCTTAAGAAGTTCAAGCCTGACTCATAATCACACAAGCCACTTGTGTGTGTGTGAACTGAGTGAAGGTTTGTGGAGATGATCGAGGATCATCAATTTTACATCCAACAATTCATACACCCTCCCTCCCCGCCTTCCCTGTGGTTCTCATTTCTATTCCATCCTCTTTCCTCTCCTTTCTCAACTTTGTCCGTAGGTAAATGATGCCCTTTTGATCCTGAATAGTAGACCATTCCAGGGTGAGCATACCGTACCGAAGTTGTCCTCCTGTATCTACTGCTTGGCTGAAAACTGGACGATGAGAGTAACTTCTGTTCTAGACCTAAAGGGCCATAGACTTGGGTTTTTCAGTCTAATCAGTGAGCCTTTTTTTTTATATATTCTGCATTTTCACCCCTCTATCTAGGACCTTGTAATACGATCCTTTTCAGAGCATTTGGTAGGTAATGATAGCTGGGCACCATCTAGTTCCGGTCTCAGGGTCATGGAGACTGATAGTCACATGTTCCACTGGTCCACTGCACTAGTTGATTTCAAGCATCTTCAAAATTTCATCACTCTTCTGCACATGGAGAGACCAGTAGTTGCACCTTTGATGGCTGCTCATGAGCTTTTAAGATCCCAGCTGCTACTCGCCAAAATAGGGTGCAGAACATTGTGGAATGTTAAGCCAATTGACCTGAGATTACAGTCCTGAGCTCCAGGCCCATCAACTCATTGCCTTAAGATGTTTGAAAATATCTAAGAAGTTTTCTCATTCTGCCCCTGGGTGCTCCACCACATGAACACATGTGTTTGTTGCAAAGGTAAATGCCCAGATACAAATACTTTCTCTCAAATCATATATATTTATGAGCATACTCCCACTCGTCCATACCCATTCATGTTCAACCCATAGAACACTGTTCCAGAGGGATGTATATAATTTTGTTATTAATGTGCCATCGAGTCAGTTCCAACCCACAGCGACCCTGTATAGTGTTTCCATGGAGCCTTTATTCTCTTTTCAGTTTTTTTTTTTTAAATTGTGAGCTGAGTGATAGTTTACATGGGAGAACGCCGACTTTAAACAAACCAAGGGCACATTTTGGAAGCCTGCTTCCTGGCTGCCAGCACTCAGTCCCTCTCTGTTTCCATGAGTCTAGAGTCCTCAGCTGCTTTATCTCTCCATGTCATCATCTCTGGTGTTGCTGTTTCTCTGGATAGGGTCCCACATTCTGCTCTTCTCGCTTGATGGTCTTAGGTTCCTCTGTTCCTGAAGTGTAAGATTAACTATTCCCCTGTTTTTGTTACAAAACATCTACCTTCACAGTTGTGACAGTTGCAATTAGTCTTGATGACAGTTATTCACTATTGAATCATATGAATCTTATCCTCATCTCTTTTCACCAGACCCATCTAGACAAGCTGACAACTATTCAGTGGGGACTCTACCTCCCCCCACCCCACCCCACCCCCGGCACACTCTTAAACTAAACTCCCTCTTGAAACCTTGTAAGCCAGTCACTGCGTGCCTTTATCGCCCCCTCTTTGAACTTTTGCATTCTTATCAGTGTCTTCACCTGTCGTCATTCTGCCACTTTCCCTGTCACGTGAGTTAACATTACTCTCTAGCCAGTGAATTACCCTCCTTCCATTCCTGCTAACCATCCAAGACTGTTAACAATAGTCATCTCATACAATATTTGTCCTTTTGTGATACATAATTTCAATCCTCGTGATGTCCTCCAGGTTCATCCATGTTCTGAGGTGTTTCATAAATTGATCATTATTCTTCAACATTTTAGTATTCCATTTTATGTACGTATCAGAGTTCACACAAGCCACTTTTGGCAAGTCGAGTTCTGCTCTGCAGAGGCTCCCCACAGTCCTGACTGTAGTGTGGATTAACTAGTTAAGCTGCAGAAATATAGTCAGGATATGAGCTGGAAATAGGATGAAAGTGTAACTGCAGAAAAAGGGTTCCTATTCACCTGCCACTAACTTAGCCAGTATGCAGAGACAGGGTTCAAAGCAAATGGTTTTTTGTGTATACACTAGGGCATTAGAACAGCAATCTCCTGATCTGCCTCCAAAGTAGACAGCAGTCTAAGGTTTTTAAGGAAAGAAAATCAAGATTGTTGAACTTGTGGTCAGGTACTGTTTTTCTATTCTGGTAATTAGGATAATTGTCTCAGCAGTTAAGGTGGTCGTGTCCTGAGCATACTGTTTTTACGTGTTTGATTTTGCTTTTGTTGAAGGAGAATTATCCCCCTCATTTGAGCCATGTGTTCTGCTTTGTAAATCAAAAAGGAGTGATTTATTTTGGAGTGTAACTAGAGAGGGAGTTAAATTTTAACTATAACCTTTTAAGATGGCTATTCTTCGTAAAAGAATTGATGCCTTTGAGTTGTGGTGTTGGAGGAGAATACTAAAAGTGCCATGGACTGCCAAAAGAACCAATAGATCTGTTTTGGAAAAAGTGCAGCCAGAGTGCTCCTTGGAGGCCAGGATAGCTAAGCTTCGTCTTTCATACTTTGGACATATTGTCAGGAGGGAACAGTCACTGGAGACGGATGTCATGCTGGGTAAGGTGGAGGGTCAGAGAAAAAGAGGAAGACCCCCAATGAGATGGATCAGCCAGGTGGCATCATTGATGGACTCAAGTGTGGCAGCAGTAGTGAGGTTGGCCCAGGATCGGACATTGTTTTGTTCTGCTGTGCATGGGGTCGCTATGAGTTGGTTCCGACTCGATGGCAGCTGACAACAACAACAATTCAAGTTCTATTTTACTTTTTTGTTAAGTGCCATTGAGTCAAGCAGGGCTGTAAATTATACATGGCAAGGATCATCATTGACACATAGAGATCATTTGGATCAGGGTTACTTAGATATGTTGCTCTTCAGTTAAATCCAAAGTGTGGGAGCATGGATCTTGGAGCGTTAACCATGATCTAGGATCATGCTGAGATCTGCCCTTAGGTCAAGCTTTATAGGAATTTCTATTCATCTCTGTGTTCATCTGATTTCTGGATTCCAGAATCCATAAATGAGATTCTGGAATCCAGAAATCCATAAACTAGGATACCTAGTTTATGAGTTACTAGCAAGTTTTGGCAGAGTGCATTCTTCAGTATTTTCTAAAGGAAAGGAAGTATGCATAGAAGTAAAATTTTGGGACCTTGTATGTCTGTTATACTTGAGTTTTCCTTTATTGAATTATAGATTTGAACGTATATTGTGGGGCTTCAAAAAGTTTGTGGAAAAACAATTTTTCACACAGACTTTTTGACCTCTTGCATTGCTTCATTATTTTCTTGTTTCCACTGTAATGTTGCAAAATCCAAAGCCAGTTTGATTTCTGCTTCTTGTGACTTGAAAGCCTGTTCCTAGAATGATGACATTTTTCAGTGATGTGTCTTGATGTAAGTCTATTTGTATCCACTGCATTTGGAACTTGATGAGCCCTTTCAATGTTGTACCATCGGCTCCAGTTCTGGAAAATTTTGTGTGTTCATTGATAATTTCCTATTTTCTGCTTCTATCTTTCTGGATCTATTATTTGGAGGTTGGATCTCCAGGTTAGGATCTGTAATTTTCTTAGCTTTTCATTTTTCCTTAACTCAATCTTCCAACTTTGCCATCATATTTTAAAATCTGAAGACTCCTTTTTTGATTTTTGAAAGTTCTTTTTTTATTTAGTGTCCTTTTATGTTCTCGTTTATAGATTGTTTCCTGTGAGAATATTCATGATCGTGTTTAATTTTGTATTTTTAAATCGTTTTCCTGAAGCATCTGCTTCCTTTAAATTTCTTCTTTCTGTGTGTAGTCAGTCACTTAGGTTTTCCATGTTTTAGTCTTTTTCAGTATATCTGGTAATGCGTGATTATCTTCATGGAGGATTAAAAAGCTGATTATAAGTTTTGGACTCACGGAAAGAGAGGGGTTGTTTTCAAGGTTGTGTGGGTCTTTCTTAGGAGTTCCCCTTCCCCACTCTGGTATCTTGGCTTGGTCAGATTCTCCAGGAAAGATGCCTCCAATCTTTCTGGAGGGCAGAGGTATACCTGTCAGTGTTCAGGGTGCCTAGTGGGGAATGAAGGATGAGCTCTCTCTGGCACTCTGCATGCAGTTATTCTGTCCCCACTCCCTGCCTTGCTTTTGGCTTAGTACCCACACCTGCTACGCTACCTGGCATTC